CACTGCAGCCTCAACCTCCAGGGCACAAGCAATCCTCCTGCCTCAGCCTCCGAGTAGCTGGGGAATATAGGCATATACCACCATCATCATATTTTCTTTTCATTTTCATTCTTTGTCTTTTTCTGCTTTTTGGGAGACTTCCTCGATTTATCTTGTAGCTCCCTAGGAAGACTTTTTTTGTATTGTATTCCATTCCTGTCTTGTGGGTCCAGTATCTTATTTTCTCTCTCTTACGTTAATTATAGGATTTTTCTTTCAAGAGTTCTTCTCTGTGAGTGGTCTGTATTTGATCCGGAGTTCCTTCTTTTTGTTTAATTGACTGGTTTGATCCGTGTCTTTAATGTTAGGGGCTCCTTGCTGTCTGGGGATTCCTGGTTGCCTGTTTATTTTAAAAGTGGGGGACTAACAACTTTGAGCTGGAAGGGATTTGAGGGAGCAAAAGTAGACATATGTCCCTACCATCTTAGCCAAGTCATACAGCCTTTTGTTTCTCTCATTTATTTCATGTTAAAAAGTGGGAAAAAAAAATCCATAGTCCACGCCCTGAAAAATAAATCAGCAACTGTAATAGCTACTCTTGAGCCCAAAGAAAATTACATCTTTCCCTCCTCAGCCCTCAAAGAAGAACGTGGAACTATCCCCCCCCCCAATTTTCTATTGCAAAAAATAGCACGAGATTAGTACGTGAAATTTGTGACATGTGTAAACTGCTCTAAAATTGTGAATAGGTTTAGAAACCTTTTCTCCCTCCTCTCTACTCCCACAGTCCTGAATCACCAGCCCAGCCTTCTGGCTCATCACTTCCTGCTTGGTGAGTTGCATGCATGTCTTATCTCCATGACGATGCTCCAAGCCACTGGAGAGCAGGGTGCATGCCCAATTCATCTCAGCGTCTTCTGTAGCCCACATCAGGGAAGGCTGACAAACAGCGAAGGGCATTCTCAAGACCTTCATGTCCTCTCCTTCGCACACACAGTTAGCCCCCACAGGAGTTTATGTGGTGAATGAAAAAAGAAACCCACAAGAACATAATTGAGATGTAATTCCATTCTGATCTCTAATCTCTTTACCTTTGCATCCTCCCACGTATGAATAGGATGGTCCATGATCCTGAGGGCAGTCAAACAGCCAGGGAGCACCAGTTTAATCCTCAGGGTTTGCAGGGAAAGGAAGGCTGTGGAGACCCAACTGCACAGCAAAACCAGTGATGTACGCAGAGGACAGGCTACAAATTAAATCCGAACTTCATGGTTTGGTGTTCAAGGCTCTCCATTGCCGCTCCTTGGACATCTGCAAGGCTTCTAGCAGCTCTCCCTATCTGGGGCCTGACCTTTAGTCAGTCTTGCATGTAGAAGAATCATTTTCAGATACCAAGTGTCTCATGTCCTTTCTTTGTCCAAGAACTTACAGCTGATTTTTTTGTTTTGTTTTGTTTTTTGAGACAGAGTCTCACTCTGTCACCAGGCACCAGGCTGGCGTGCAGTGGCGTGATTTCAGCTTACTGCAACCTCCGCCTCCTGGGTTCAAGCAATTCTCCTGCCTCAGCCTCCCGAGTAGCTAGAACTACAGGCGTGCACCACCACACCCAGCTGATTTTTTGTATTTTTTAGTAGAGACGTGGTTTCACCATGTTGGTCTGGATGGTCTTGATCTCTTGACTTCGTGATCTGCCCACCTCAGCCTCCCAAAGTGCTGGGATTACAGGACTGAGCCACTGTGCCCGGCCGCAGCTGATTTCTTTTGGATCTGTTTCAAATAGCTCTCCAGCCTAAACTTCAGGACATCCTCATGAATGCCTCACCACTCCACTGCACATGTAAATCCATGCCTCTGTATTTTTCCGTCTATTGTTTCCCAGACTGATAACACCCGCGCCCTCTCAGCAACAATAATTGCTGAGGTTTAGTGAGCACTTACTTTGGGCCAGGCACTGTGCTGGTATTGCTTGTGGGTTATTTTACTAAATCCTCTCCTCAGCAGATGAGGAAATTGAGTGACAGAGAGGGTATGTCACTTGCCCACAGCCATGGAGCTACTTAACTTTGGAGCTGGAGCTCCAAGCCAGGCAAACCCAGCCCGGCCAGCCCAGGCTCCCTGGCTCAGCTCAACTCCTCACTGCTAAACTGCCTCAACCCAAGACTTATCTTCCAGGAAATATTTTTTGGAAGAACTGAGGACCCTGGCTGTGACTCTGCAACATCTATGTGTTGCTGGCTTGTGGCGTGGAGCTGCCTTTACGCCTTCCTCCTTCTGTGTCCCCTTTCTCAGTCACTTCGTCTTGCTGCTTTTGAGAAGCTGAAGTCTGATTTTTCACCACTGCCTCAGCACAGGGCCTGAGAGTCACGGTCTGCCGCCATTCCTCCAGCCAGAGAGCAGTCTGCTGGGAGGGGAGAGGTTGCATTGGCCTGAGGGCCTAGCAGGGCAGAGTGAGCAGGACAAGGAGACAGCTGCCTGTCCAAGGCCACAGCAGAACTGAGAGGGCACCGATGCCCCGGGTCACGGTCAGGGGTAGATGCAATCCTGGGAATCAGACTTGGGAGCCACTAGCCTGTGCTAGCCAGGAGGGCAAAGGCAGGCCCAGCCCGGGGACATGGGGCCCAGGCAGCCAGCCAGGGGTCCTCAAGGTAGTAACAGAGCACCCCTGAGGGGAAAGGGTAGATGGAGAGGGCAGGCAAGGCCTTCTCATCAGCAGAACTTTGGGGAGGGGGTATCTTCTCTTCAGATGTCCCCAAAAGTACCAGGCATCCATGTCCTTGTGCAGATAGCTATAAAAAGGCTAATGCTGTGCCCCCCGCCCCGCCCCTGGTCCCCAGTTGCTGGCCAAGAACTCAAATGAGGCTGGAGAGCCCACCACTGCCATGCTCACGGGGATCTGCTAGGGCTGGGCTCGGGTGGATGAGAAAGGCTATGGCCCGCGTCTCTGTCCCAGCTTTGCGCATCTGTTTCTTGCCTGGTCACCCCACCTCTGTGTCCTGTCTCTTCAAATACCCTGCTCGCCACCCGCAGACCATTCTCCTTGGAAAGCTGTGTCATCTTGTCGTTCCTGTGCTCAAGAACCCAGAATCTCTTCTAAGGCCTCTAAGACAAAATCCAAGCTTCTTATCCCAGAGTTCCAGCCCTACCTAAATCTGACCCCTGGTCTCTGAAGCCCCCTGGTCGCCTGCCACTGGAACCCAAGTGCTCTCCTCTCACTGAAACTTCCTCATTATTCCCAAGATACATGCCAGTCGCTCTTGCCTGTTTGATGTTGAGTGGAACAGTGAAAGGAGCATGGGCTATGCTTCCTGTGTGTCCTCGGGCAAGTCACCCAGTGTCTCTGTGCCTCCTGCTGCTTACCTGGGAAATACTTAAAAAGCTGTTTTGAGAATTAGAATGTTTGCTTACAAAGTGCCAGGCACACAGTAGGTGCTCAATACACGCACAGTGCCCACCATGCCGTGCTCTGGGTGCCCCTGACCTGACGGCCTGCCTTGTTTCTGACTGGCTGAGTTCCTGCCTCCTACCAGGCCCCTCTCTAGATGCACCTTCACATGCAGCCTGCCCTGCGTGCCTCACTGAGCGTGGCAAGGGAAGGAAAAGCAGCATTTGCCTATCCCTCGCTGGGCACAGACCCTGTGGGGGCGTGGAGATCCCTGATGGTGGTGGCGAATCCTCCCAGGGGGCCTCCTTGTGCTAGGCCTGCCCCGGCCCGTTGTGTGCACTAACTCACAGAAGTCCTGATGGAAACTCACGTCCATAGATGAAGGTTCCTAAATGGCTTTCTGCTCTGTCCAGCCTAGTTGATGTGGTCTCCCTGGCCCTTTGGTCTTAGCTTCCCCATCCAGCGGCCTCCAAGTGGCTAAGAGGAGATTTTATCTAGAAGTGAAACCCTGCAGTCTAAAATGCAGAGTCTCCTGTGTGTTGTTCAGGCCAATCCCGTTAGAGAAGGGTTTGAAAGAGAACCACCTTCACCAGCCCTGCCACCCAGCCTGCAGCCGGCTCCCTTGCTGCACTTCATGTCAAGCCTTGGGATTTCATTAGGGTTCTCTGCCCAGAGCACCCATTCCTCTGGGCCTGCCTGGAAAATGCAAGCCTTGCTCCTCTGTGGTCCTACCATCTCCAATGGACGCTCATATGTGTGGGTCAAGGTCATTGCCCTCTGCCTCCATTCCCAGGGCACCTTGTCCGGCCCCTGATTGCACCCTCTGCAGATGTCTGCCTCCTCGGCAAACCCCTCCCCTGGGCTGAGTCCCTGAGGGCAGGGGCTGTGTGGTGTTCATGTCTGTATTTCAGTACTTGGCACAGAGCCTGGCACGCAGCAGGCCCTGGTGTTAGGGATGAAGGGAGGGAGGAAGGGGACGGGGTGGAATAGGCATCAGGGCAGAGGGAACGGTGGTCATGTTTCTGGTTGGTTCCTCCCAAGGTGGGGCAGTCACAGGCCCCTGCCTGACTCAGAAAGGGAGGCCTCTGTGGACACCCTGGAGTTCCCCTCCCCGAGAGCCCCAGCCACGCAGCTCCCTCCAGACCCCCGGGAGATGCCAGTCTTTGAGATGCATCAACTTTCTTAGAGAAAATCGCTGAATATGCTCAGTAATTTTTTTTGACATTTTCCCTGTTCAGGAGCTTGTGATTTCAGATTAATCACATCCACATACATTTAGACTGTCGGCTTGGAAGGGAAAATTGGAATTTTATTACTGCATGATTTCATCCAAAGCTATCTTACCAACACTAAAAGGTTGTCTACAATGAGGTGCAAATCACGACAAAACATTTTGCCTCCGGGACCAAGCTCAAGGCAGGAGGCCAAGGGGACCGGCGGGGTGGTGGGTGGGGGCTGCAGGGGGGCCTGGTGGGCACAGTCGAAGCCCCTTCAGTGGCCTAAAGAGACCTGTGCGAGCCACCCTCACTGCTGCCTCTTCCTCAGCAAAATATCTCATTTCCGTCCTCTCTCTAGGTCTCCCACGGCCCTTACTCCGGGAATGGCTGTTCATGACTAACTCCTGTCTTCCCCTTGGCAGGTACCATGACCAGCAGGATGTAACTAGTAACTTTCTGGGCGCCATGTGGCTCATCTCCATCACATTCCTTTCCATTGGTTATGGAGACATGGTGCCCCACACATACTGTGGGAAAGGTGTCTGTCTCCTCACTGGCATCATGGTGAGTACTCTCCTCTGCCCATCCCCCTACCCCCAAAATGTGGCAAAGAGCAGAACGCCTTCTTGCAAGCACAGGGGGGGCCTTCCCAGCCACAGCGTGGGGGGCAGCTGTTAGTTAACAGACCTGCATGCGTGTCCCCGACACATAAAAAGGCGGGTGGAAAATCCGCAATGGTTTCTCACTTTTCAGTTGACTTTTCTAAGGTAAGAATGGGTTCCTGGCAGCTAATGGTCTGTTCACAGCTCCCTCAAAATGGGCTGGGTGACGCTGGTCCTGGTCCGGTGCTCTGCTGCCCGCCCCACTGCTGCGCAGCCGCCCAGGTTGCTCGCCTCCAGTGAGTATTGGGGCTTGCAGTTTATGGTCCTCCCTTCTGTTCGCTCGGCCCCACTGACCTTGGTACCATTTCTGATCATGTTTAGCTGGAACTCACAGAAGCCCGGTCTGGGGAAAGAGCAGCTAGTCGGCCTTCAGGACCTGTGTCCTGGACAGGGCTGGCCACACGGCCCTGGGCCTGCTCCTGCCTTTTCAGTCTTCTGCTTCCGCCTCGGCCTTTGGAGGGGCTGGGTTCTGAGTGCCAGGTGCTTTGCGGCACTGGCATGCGGTGAGGCTGTGATCCTGTGATCCCATCCCCAGGTGCCCAGCAGGTGTGCCGTGCCCTTTCCAGGTGTATCTCTCCTGCCCAGTGCCCTGCTACCCACACTCAACACACACTCGCAGAGGAGGCACACATTCCCGCCTGTCACATGGCCATCGCGGTGTGGCGTATGGGAGGGATGTGGGGTCTGAGTTTCTGCTCGCTGTGGACCCTAGGCCAGGCACTCTGCCTGTGGGACCTGAGCATCCTCCAGGGTGAAGTGGAGATGGATGGCCCGCCCCGCCCTCCCCACCGGTTTGTGCAAGGACCAAATGCAATGATTTATGTGAAAGTGATTTGAAAACCAAAAGTAGCCACACAAAGGTCAGTGTGGGTGGCGTGCTCAGTGTCCTTCGGTTGCAAGTTGGTGAAGTGTTCCCTTGGCCTTGTCGCACTTGGGGTCCAGGACAGGCAGCTGCTGCTCTTTGGCCTTCATCCTGGAATCCTAGAGCAGTGTCACAGCAGGGCTGGATACTCTTTTCAGAGGAGGAGACTGAGGCTGAGAGAGGAAAGCACAGCTAAGCCTGGCGATGGTGGGAGGTGGGCCGGCCGTCTGTGCGGTGGCTCTGCATCTCTGTGGCTGGAGACTGCAGCCCTCCCCAGGACACACCCCTCCGCAGCCCCTCACATCTTTGTGAAAACCCTTCCTTGCAGTGATCCCTTAGATTCCACTTGTCACCCCCATTGCTCCCAGGAGGGATGAAGACCCTCTTTCTGGAAGGGCAGTGACCCCTTTCTGCAGTGGAAAGGGAGGGCCCAGCTCTTCCTGCAGGGTCTGTGTGAACGCCTCACCGGCACTGGGGGCTGCCCCCCACTCCGCTCTGCCTCACTGGCTTCCTGGGGCTGATCGGGTGGACCAGATAGTCAGACTCAGCTGATGGGAGCAGAGCAGGCCCTGGGGCCAGTGGCCTACTGAGCTGCAGGCGCCAGGCCCTCTCCTCCTTTCTGACTCCAGTCCAGGGCAGGTTCCTATTAGCAGGCAGGTCCCAAGACGGCAGCTAATGACAGAAAGCTTAGTGCTGGGGCGGTGATAAATCATGGGTAAGTGCAAGGCTTTAGAACAAACACCTCCCATCGGTTAGTAGGAGTCTGTCTGGCACAGCACCAACTGTCACGAGGAAACCAGGGAAGGACACTTCTTACCAGAGAGAAATGAAATGCCACCAAAGGCCAAGGCTTTCCTTCTTAGAGCCACTCCTGGGGCGTGGGCTCTGTGCCTCAGAACCAGCTCTCAGCCAGGGCCGGCACAGAGCCGGGTGGCCAATAGGTGGCTGGGGCCTGCGGGGAGCCTCTGTTATTTTAAAATACCAGCCTTTCTCCCTCTCGGCACGTAGCTGTGCCCCATCCAAGAAGCGGCCCCCTAAGGACCCCTGGATCCTGGACTCCGCATCTCCTGGCCCTACTCTGGCACAGCTGAGCAGAACATGCGAGACCCCTGCCCCACCCACCCCTGCCTCTCTTTAGGGGTCTGGGGGGCTGCTTGTCTTTCAGCACCCCCTTTGGCTGCCTGGATCTACAGCGCTCCCCCGAAGGGAGTGTTCTGTTCCCTATGGATTGAGGTGTGATCAAAGTGAAAAGAACAAATGGATGAGAAGGAGCCGGCCCCCACCTTCACCTTCCATATGAAAAATACAGCCCGGGCCTTTTATCTCCCCTTTTGTGCAAAACCCTGCGCATAAATATGTACCTTTCTATAGACGGGAATGGGGAGGTTTCCGCTGTTCGTTGTCAGTGTTTCTCACCCAAATTAAAGTCAGTCGCCTCACTCTGGGGTCAGCCACATTGAGGAACCCCGGTGGCGTTTTCCTAGCAAATGTGATTTTTCTAGCTGAGTCACTCCTAGCCAGGGAGGATCCTTTCCCCTCCTCCTCCCAACCTCCAACACTATGTATAGCTCCCAATTATTACTGCAAGTGCCTTTACTAAAGGTAGGGCTTCCTGTTTGGTTACCATGGACACCACGAAGGCCAAGGCAAGGCCCGCTTGGGAAGGAAAAGGAAGGATCTGTGTGTGTGCATGGCCTGTAAATAGTCTTAATCATTGTTTTCTCTTGGCAAATCCCAGTAACAATGTAATTATCAACCATTAAGCAGGGTGTATAACTGTCTGAACGACTTGCCATGGCTGGCACAGACCTGGTGTGTTTGAGAGATTTCATCCCCAAAAGCAGCTCCTTCAAAGTCCAGCATCTTTCCTTCCATAAGGATTTTTTTCATGATCGCAGTGACAACACAGTAGAGAAAAAGCTGTCAATATTTAGTATCCAGAACTGGAAATGACAGTGCAACTTAAAAGATGTGCAGTGCTGACCTGCGGGTTCTGCGGCCGTCTGGGAGCCCCTGGAGCCCCCAAGTCCGCTTGGCATGACTTGGTTTCAGTCTGGCCTCTTTCTAAAGCTAGACTCGCTCTGTGGACCCTTGGTGAGTTATGGCCAAACAGGCAAAAGCTTCCGGATATCTGCTGGGACACTGAGCTTTTCCCCAATGACCTCATGACAGAGGCCTCTGAATGGCAAAGGGAACGTGATGGTGAAGTGAAAGGTAGCACAAATTGAGCCATTTTGGGAGGAGGCAGAAAGAGGGCTCAGCAAGACATCTGCTTAATGTCAGTTTTAGATGAGCCTCTCCCGAAGCACCTTACTTTCCAACCAATTGATGTTATTTTCGTTGTTGCAGAAACAGAATCCAACTGTAAATCCTCCAGGCTTCCCTCCTCCATTTGTCACTTTCGTTTGTGTTTTATTTTATTTTATGCTTCTTTAGTTAAGAACACCTCATACTTTTCCCCTTGGGATGCTTGTTTTTCCAGCTTCTAAGGTTTTCCAGCTGGAAAATGTTTCTTGAAAACAAGAGGTAGGAGGACTGGTGTGGAGGAGTCTCGGTCCAGATTTGGGTCCGAATCTCTAGAGCTGGGCGTGTTCACCCCGTCCCAGCCGCCCTCCCTCTGTGCACCTCCTGCTCTCTGCTCGCCCACCTGCCTTGGGAGGTTCCGCCTCATCAGAAGTGGACCCCATCCCCTCCCCTTGCCCCACGGAACTGGAAGTTGGATAGAGCAGATCCAAGGACTCCAGTTGGTGTGCCCTGTGGTTCAGGACTTGGCATATCTGAAAGCAAAAGACTGAGTCATGGACCTTCCCCCCAGTCTGACCCCGGGGAAGTCACAGCAGCAGCTGCTGACCGTTCCCATGCTGCTCCCTCCCTCCTCACACTCCCCCTCTGCCCACCAGACATTTCTAAGATTCCACCATTAGCCTGGCCCTGGGCGATTTTTCTCTTAAAACTAACCTGCATCACTGCCAGCTGACACAGCACTGCCAGGCTGCCCCCGTGGCCTGCCAGACTATTAACTCACCTCAGTGAAAGGACCCAACATCCCAAAGGGGACCCAGGGGACAGCCGATCCTTATACCACTTGAAGATGGACACAGCAAGGCGGAGTTCCATGGCACTTCCTTCATGTCCTCTAAAGAGCCAAAATGGACCCTTAACTTCTGGCTCAAGCCTTAGGCTCCTCATTCTTCTTTCCTCTCTCAATCCCAGCAGCCCGTCATTTTTTCTTATTCCTCAGCCTCCTCCTTGTCTCTTTCCCTTCCCACCCTTGCTGTTTGGGGTGCAACACACTTTATTCCCCATCTCTTTCTCTGCCCAGCTTGACCTGTCCCTGTACCCACCTCCCTTCTCTTTCCTCCTCTTCTCTTCTTTCCTCTTCTCTTCTCTTCTTTCTCTCCTCTGCTCTCCTCTCCCCTCTCCCTCCCCCCCCCCCCCCCCCCCCCTCCCCCCCCCCTACTCTCCCCTCCCCTGTCCCCCCTCCCCTCTCCCCTCTTCCCTCTCTCCTTCCCCGCCTTTCCCCTCCCCTCACCTCCCTTCCTCTCCTCTTCCTTTGTCTTCTATCCCCTCTTCCTTTTCCCTCCCTGCACCCTGCACGGTCTGCAGAGGCTCAGCAATCTAGGCTTCAGTATACTTCCACCACTTTCTGAAGGCTGCTGATGTCTGACCCCATCTTGATGAGGTCACCTCTTAATGGAAAAGACCAGGTTAGGTGTCATTACTGGTGACTTCCCTAATTACATCCAGTTAATGGAAAAATGAAGTTGAGAGCATCCATTTAAGTTGGAATTAAGGGTTAAGAATGCAGCATCCTCTAGTGAGATACTCACAAGGGAGTCATGACATCTTTATGTTGAAAGAAACTGGGAAGTGTCATCCAGTCCACTGTCCTGCCTCCAGAGAGAAATTTATCTTCATCACAGAGATAGATGGTTCCCTAGACAAAACACTTTAGCTTCTAATTAAAAGCACCCCTTCATTCAACCAGCCACACTGTGGGCCATGGCAAGAGCTGTGGAACACCCCATCTAGACCCTGGAAATTTGGGATGGTGGATGATTGATTGTTGTGACTGAACTCCCAAAGTAGCATGGTGCAGGGAAGCTCCCTCTTCAGGCCTCTTGGACTCCAGCTTTCAGGGATGACTTAAGTCGAGTTTTGCCTGGACCTAGGGAGAGGAAGGAGAATCGAGCCTGGGGAGAACCCGCTCCATCTGACGTTCCATTTTTAACGCTATGATATAGCCCTCTTTTTGGGCTTTCAGCCCAAAGTACTTTTGGAACTCCATATAAAGGAGAGGGATGACACTCCGTCCGGTTGAGGGGAAGGCAGCACACATCTTCCCTCTAGGATGGCTGCTTTTAAGCTATTTTTTGCTTTTGGGGGCCTGGCTAAACTGATTACAGCTACAGACCAGGCTGTCCAACTGCCCAGGTCCTTTGAAAATTGGGCACAGAGTCTCCTGTAAGTCACAGAAGCTGAAAAAACACAGCCGTCCTCGAACAAAAGAGGAAAATGAGGTCAGAAAAGGAAAGTTCACACAGACTTGGTTCTTTTCACTTTGTTGTCCTGGAAATGGGAGGTCAACCAATGTGCTGAGAAACACGAGATTGTTTTAATGGGGACCCTTGTGGGAAACTGGGAGAAAGCATTGTGAACTTCAAGCACATCGAAACTTCACACAGGCTAGCCTTTGTCAGCCTGCGGGATAAAGAGAGAAAGGGATTCTAAAAGAGAGAGTAGGGAATGGATCCACCCATGTGCATTCCTTCCAAGTCGGTTATAGACTACAGTACCTTCGAGAAACAGTCTTGTCTGCTTCTCACACATTTTGTAAGACCTGATGAGCCAAAAATGTTATTGACGGATGCCTTCCATTCTGGGACCTCAACCGCTAGACTGGGTTCTGTGGCAACTAGAATTGTCATTTGGCATCTGGGATTCAGTCATTGGCTTTTTTTTTTTTTTTTTTTTTTTTTTGAGATGGAGTCTAGCTCTGTCACCTATGCTAGAGAGTACAGTGGCGCAATCTCTGCCCACTGCAACCTTTGCCTCCTGGGTTCAAGTGATTCTTCTGCCTCAGCCTCCCAAGTAGCTGGGATTACAAGCACCTGCCGCCATGCCCAGCTAATTTTTGTATTCTTAGTAGAGACGGGGTTTCACTGTGTTGGCCAGGCTGGTTTCAAATTCCTGACTTCGTGATCCGCCCACCTGGGCCTCCCAAAGTGCTGGGATTACAGGCGTGAGGCACCGCGCCCGGCCCTGTTGTTGGCTTTAATAAGTTCATCATCTCTTTCCATGAGTGGTGGTCAGGGCAGCGCAGGGCACAGCGTGCAGGCAGAGGGTGATGATCTTTGACAAGAGTCCACTTGCAGGACGGGCTGACCCCCGCTGCCTGCAGAAGAGCCAGGGGGAGGAGTGAGTCTCTGACTTCCCCCTGTGCTCACCAGCCAGCCCAGAAGCACAGCAATGATGTAAAAATGCATCAGGAGAATGTTGGAATGTGCAGGGAATTCCCTGCTTATTTCCCAGTCAGTCAAGCATGCACCCAGAGGATTCAGAGAGGGAAAGCGAGTCCCATCATTCTTGGGGCTCAGCAGAGCGTGCTTCCTTGCCCACCCTCCCCCAGGATCCCCTGCCATGGACCTACCGAGCAGACTAGGATCCCTGTTCTGGAAAATCCCAAGGGTCTGCTGTGGCCTCACTTAACATCCTGGTTTTGATCCAGAGGGAGTGGTGTTGTCTTTAAAATCTCTGCATGATGGCGAATTCATGAGCCTCCCGGTGAAGGCAGGAAGGAACCGACTCCTTGTGCTGAGTCATAGCCGAAAACTTCAGGTGAAAAGGCCCAACTGTAGAGCAAACACAGTCACTGAGTGCACGTGTTCGTGCCAACCTGGGTACACTCTGTGAAACAAGCCCTGGGGAAAGGTATTGCCTCTTCATTAGATTATTTTCAGGAACACTCTCAGCCACTGGCAGGTGGCGGCCCAGCTGATGCCCTGCGTTCTCTCCTTCCGCGCCGCTGGGCCAGCGCTGGCAGTGGGATGGAGACCTTCGTGAGGGAGAGGGGGCCCGAGTGCGTGCTGGCCCCTCTGTCCTTTGCTGCACACCTTGGCAGGGGACCAAGTGATTATCTGTTGGTTAAACCCCTCAAAGCCTGGGTGCCACCCAGCGTCCTTCTCCATTGAGAACTGGCTAGCTCAGTCCCCCAGAGGTCAGCTGCAGAGCATAAGCCAAGAGGCACCGCAGGCCCTTTATGGGTCGGGACATCAGAGTCCTGACAGGTTTCGACAGATTTTGTGGCTTGGTTGTGACCGGCCAGAGAACTCAAGTTTCCACTTCTGTCCCAGGACACTACCCCCGTGGGCGCCAGGTGTGTTGAGTCTGTCGTCTTGCCTCTTAATGATATGTTCTTTCCCTTCTGGTCCTCTTGGTGTCCCCCCACAGGGTGCAGGCTGCACTGCCCTTGTGGTGGCCGTGGTGGCCCGAAAGCTGGAACTCACCAAAGCAGAGAAGCACGTTCACAACTTCATGATGGACACCCAGCTCACCAAGCGGGTAAGATGCCACACAGCCATGTCTTATGGGGGACTTAAGGCCACCGTGGAAGCCAATCAGAAAGCAAATGGTCTCGTAGCATGGGTTTTCACCAGGCTTTTAAAGGGTATGTTTGAGGGAGCCCCAGACATAGGCAAACGGCCTCCGCAAAATGGAAATGGCATCTCCACACACCGGTTCCTGTCTTCCGTTCAATCACTGTGCATGGGTCAGACAGCCACATGATTTTCCTGAGAGTTTCATCAGTAGCCTACAATGGTATAACCTGCCCCTTTGCCTGATGATACCAAATAAATCACCCAGTGTGAAGCAGTACTTTTTGTTTATGCTCAAATATTTTCAGGATTCTCATTAGGAAGGGCAAAACGATATTGAAAATGTGCTAAAAAAGTCTAATCCCTTAAAAAAATCACTTAAAGAATCATTCTAGGCCGGCACGGTGGCTCACGCCTGTAATCCCAGCACTTTGGGAGGCTGAGGCGGGCTAATAACGAGATCAAGAGATCAAGACCATCCTGGCCAACATGATGAAACCCTATCTCTACTAAAAATACAAAACTTAGCCTGGTGTGGTGGTGTGCGCCTATAGTCCCAGCTACTTGGGAGGCTGAGGCGGGAGAATCACCTGAACCTGGGAAGTGGAGGTTGCAGTGAGCTGAGATCACGCCGCTGCACTCCATCCCGGTAACAGAGCGAGACTCCATCTCAAAAAAAAAAAAAAAAAAGAATAATTCTAGTAGAGCCCACATTCCTAAATAAAATTGTTCATCAAAACATTATCATCCAATTTTTCCCTTTTGGGTTTTCCCGGTAACGTTTCTCACTTGAACCATTATGAAAGTGGCTAAGGAAGATGAAGAACTGAAAATATGCAGGAATGGGTAGACCATTTAGCTGCTGAACGCTGGACACCCCACTGACTTGTCAGAGACGAAAAGGCCCATTTAGAAGAGACAGATAGAAGCCTTCCAGAATAACAGCAGGCCAAATGGGCAAGGCAGGAGCTGTTTATTCAAGGACAGCTTTTATGGAAAATCTTTAGAACTACAGCCTGAAGGAAGGTCAGTAAGATGATTTCTTGCAAGACTGTCCTCTTTCTGAGACAAGACAGAACGAAAGCCCTGTGCCCCTGTCTCCGCCTCCTTGGTCTTTTTCATTTAGGACTGAAGTAGGTTAAGGGACCCATGAGCAACCAAATGTTGATTGGGGGTTTTGAAAGCTAGAGAAGATATTCAGCGATTAGTGTTGCACAGCAGCAAAAATGTGTTAGAAACAAAGGCAGGAAGGGAGAACAAAGAGAGAGAGAATGACAGAGGGAGCTGCGAGGGAGCTCTCGGGGAAGGCCGTGGGAGAGTGTGCAGTCACCACGGCCTCTCCAGTTTCTCAGCAGAATTATTTATGGTGTTTGATTGTCTGGTCTTTGATTACATTTATTGGATTCTTTAAAGAGCCTTCACAGATGTTAAAAGGAACTGGGACAGGCAAATATTCTTATGTCGTTGACATTCAAGTGTTGGTACATCACGGCCCTGAGCGATCCGCTGCACCAAAAAAAGCCATGATTTGTCACATCACGATGGCAGTGATTGAAGGCTGTTACCAGAGTCAGGCCTGCCGGGAACCCTGCCACTTGGCCACTCTCTTTCGGCCCCCTCTAATAACAGGTGCAGAAGTCATGTTCAGTATTGAGGAAATGACTCAAGTTATTGAAACACCTAAATGCAAATCCACTAGCATCTAATTTCCTGAAGCAATTTTCACTGAATTGCAACTACATGCCGGAGTGAGGGGAGGGAGATGTCTTGCCTCCAAAACCCTCTCATAAGCTGTTTACCAAGAGTAGGGACATTAGCAGTCTCTGTTTATTCTATTTTCTTTTTTAAGCCAAGTATATTCTTTGTATTTCGTGTTATTCCTTTGTCCTCTCCATTTTTCACCAAGTAAATCAGACGCTAAGGGAAAATAAAGCTGAGGAAAGCCAGCTCCTTTGTATGCCAGGAAAATAAACAATTTTTTCTGCAATGTAATTGTAGAAGATGAGATTGTGGTTGCTAATTTTAATCTTTCAAAGATGATTCCCTAACATCCTCCTCAATTCCACTTACTTCTTGAAAAGTAGGACTGAAAATCAAATCAACAAATATTTATGGCTCATCCATGAATGTAAGGTAGCTTTTTAATCAAATAACATCTCACTTTTCTGAGAACACTTCAATCTGTTGAAATGTCCCGTTAGTATCCAATATCTTTTCTCAAGGAAACAAATAACACAGAAGAGATGGTTCTTACAGAGAGAAGGTTTTCAAAGCAGGCACTAGAACTTCTGAAGGTTCTTTTACATAACCTTAGTTGAAATGAAACTGGATGCGTGGGTCCTTGGTCCACTCTGGTTTGAGCTGACTCTGACCTGCTCACAAGAGAAGCCCACTTTTCTTCCTCTGGGGATGGCTGGCCTGCCCTCTGTCCAAATGGCCCATTGCATCCAACTGGAGTGGCTCATTGGTCAAGATGCTAAACTTAGTCTGTTCATAACATCTCAGTGAACTTTCAGAGAAAGATCTGATGTGGAAGGAGTTGACGGTGGCATAATTGCAACCTCTTTGGAGTGGACAGTCAGTGTATTTGACAGATGAAAGCAGTCTCTTACCAGTATCTGCTACCTTGATGTTCAAACGCCTAAGCAAAACGAAGAATGGAATTGTAGCTATTACTCATAAATCATACCCAAATAGTTCTAGTGTTTATTCATCTTGCTGTAAAGGCTGCAGTCTAGCCTTTGCCAAGAGAGCCAGCACTATTTTTATTTATTTACTTGTGGGGAGGGAAGAGGGTCTGATAGCACCGGGTAAGAACTCGGTTTCTGGTTTTCCTGAATCCCATGCCTATCTTCTTTCCTTGTGTAACTTATCAACCCTGGTGGCAACGTCATTTCTGTATTTAATTTGATCAGGTCTTCCCACACTGACTTTGCAGTGTCACTGCCATTGTTATTCCATAATTATAACTTATTGCTAACCCCTGGGCTACTAGATAATACATAAGTACATGACACACAGAGGGACTGGAAGAAGATACTAGAGCCCCATCCTTTCTGCCACTCAGCGCTTCCATGTCCCCATCTTTCTGCTTTATGTAACTAAACATCCATCACAGAGGTCACTCCCTGGGTACCACACTCTGTACTCTGGGGGCACCAAGATGAGTAAAAGGTGGTCCTTACCCCCATCCTTAACCTCTGATGGCCGACGGCCCTCAGGGAGCACTGCTGCTGCTGCTGCTGCTGCTTCCTCCTCCTCTTCCTCCTCTTCCTCTTCTTCTTCTTCCTCTTCTTCCTCTTTCATTCTTCTTCTTCATTATTTCTTCTCCTTCTTCGACAGAGTCTCACTCTGTCACCCAGGCTGGAGTGCAGTGGCGCGATCTTGGCTCACTGCAACCTCTGCCTCCCAGGTTCAAGCAATTCTCCTGCCTCAGTCTCCCAAGTAGCTGGGACTACAGGTGCACGCCACCACACCCAACTAATTTTTTATATTTTTAGTAAAGACGGGGTTTCACCATATTGGCCAGGCTTGTCTTGAACTCCTGACCTTGTGATCCAGCCGCCTTGACCTCCCAAAGTGCTGGGATTGCAGGGTGAGCCACCATGCCCCGCCCAGAGAGCACTCTTTCTTATCAAAGGCAGAGTGGGCTGCCATGGACACACTTGGCTTGGGAGGCACCGTGGACCGGAGATATTTTGTTTGCAGTACCTATTCTCCACATCAAGCCATAGTGAGCAGAACCTTCAGACAGCACCGTGGGTGTGTGCTGAGGATCATCTCCTTCTGGCTGCAAGAGTTTCTTGCCCCAAGTAGCTCATCCAAGTACACTTCAATGAGGAAGATCAAAACTAAACCCACAACTTCCCTAAACGAGTTCCTTCTAACTTCCCTGGTATGCTCGTGACATCGTGTTCTTCCAGACTCCACGCCTAAAGATTTAGCTCCATTTCTGACTCCTCTGGGCCCTGGACCCCACAGGGGTCTGAGCACTTTCGGAGCCTGATTTAACCCTGCCGTGGCTGTTCACGCTTGCCTGCCTCTCCAGGGCCTCTGCCCCGCCACACTTGAAGCCACCATCTTCTCTGGGCCTGCGTCTTCTCATCTGGGTTTGCGTGGCTCATCCGTAAGCATCCTTCCAGCTGAAATACACACTGTTCTATGACTGCGCCCAGTCTGTCTTGGACAGACCTTCGTGCGTGACGTCGTTTCTGTTACATCACAGCAGCCTGCCACCTGCTCTCCTCGCGTGGGCCTCTGCTTTCCTATGGTCCTCCTCAGACTCTCAGGCTTAGCTTTGAACATATTTCTTCCTGCTCAAAAACCTTTAAGTAGTTCCCCACCTACTATCTCCTGAATGACACTAAAGAAAACTTTTCTTTAATTACGCGCATATGCCAAAATTCGATCATAACCTTGCTAGAAAAAATTTTCTTCAGCTGGCTAATTCAAAGATGACTCTTAGTAGAAGTATTTCATAGGAAAACGATGGTGATCACTGAGGTACCAGATACCGAGGGTCTGGCTAAAGGACGGCGAACGGACAGCTGGTTGGGCTCCAGAGTGGGTTTCCAGAATGAGTCTTTATCACTTTAAAATTGATCGATAATCAATAGGGCAGTTACGAGGAATGCTAATTCTCCCCAGAAGAGGATTATCAATTACATCACACACAAAGTTCCGTCCCAGACAGACTGGGTGCAGGTTTTCTTCAGCAACAGTCACAGAGACATTGTGCGTTTATGCTGGAAGGGCCCTTCGGGATGAGCCACTCCGACCCAGATGAGAAGACGCAGGCCCAGAAAGGGGCAGGGTGGGCCCCCGGCCGATGCAGGATCCAGTTTGCTCTCAGACCATCAGTCAGGCAGCTCTAGGGTGGTCAGTTCCTTAGATCCCAGCAAGGGATTAGGGCCCTGGGCCTGCTGAAGAGAAAAGCCAGCTAAGTCCTCCCTGACAGTATCACAT